ACTCACTCCCAGGGATCTGTTATTCTGTATATAAACCACCTCGAACCCCTCGATTAGATTCCAGTCTGTAACTCACTCCCAGGTATCTGTTATTCTATATATAAACCACCCCAAACCCCTCGATTAGATTCCACTCTGTAACTCACTCCCAGGGATCTGTTATTCTATATATAAGTACCCACCGAACCTCTTCGATTGGAATCTAGTCTGTAAGTTAATTGATTCTATACATGGACCACTTGCCCTGTCCTTGCCCTGATCCCATGAACCTCTCAGTTAGACTTTGGTCTGTGAAATCAATCTTGGGATCTGTTATTCTTGGGATAAAAATTTTCCTGCCTGTAAGATCGCTGTAATTTCGGCAGTTCCTGTAGAAATAACCCATTTCTGGAATCAAATGGTTTGCAAGAGGCAAGGACAAAGCCAAGAGATTTGAGGGGCTTGGGGTGGTGGTGTGTGGGAGTGCGGAGATGTGAGTAGTATATATACAGTGAATGCAAAGATTGCAGTGACGGGCAAAGAGAGAGTTCGAACCAGGTCCACTGAACATTAATGTGATTCATTGCCAGATATAATCACAAAAGCAATGGCCCTTAGGGTTGGAATTGGGTTGAGAGAACAGTAATAATCAAACAGAAGATTAAAATAGATTGGGGGTTTGTTCCTCTAATGCCCTGATATTGGGAAGTCATTGCCAGGGGTGATTGTATAATTAAAAAGCTGACTTGGAGGTCAGAGAATGCACTGTGGTTTTGTCTGAGGAAAATTAGATTGAAAAAGAACAAGGGGATTTAATTAGAGGTCAATCCACTGGGTCAACCTGGAATCCAGGTGCTTTGAATTAAACAGGATTCAGACAGAAAGCTATTGGCTTCTTTGATGAATATTAAACACTTCCATTGGGATCACTGAATTATTCCATAGCACTGCCATGGCTCTTAATATTCTCCATTCCATTGTCATTGCTCCCAGCCTCTCGCCTCACCCCTAACCAATGACACAATGAAAAAAATGCCTTGTCCAGTGTGAAACTGTGAAGGAAGACCTGCATTTTTATAGCATCCTCCCGTAACTCAGGATGTCCAACAGTGTACGACAGCTAATGTTGTATTTCTGAAGTACTCGCTGCTTTAAGGTAGGAACAAAGCAACCAATGTGTGCACAGCAATGTCATAACCAATCAGGTTTGGTGATGTTGATTGCAGGATAACCCTTGGCCCAAGGCACCGGAGAGACATCTCTTGCTGTGCTTTGAAATCGTGCCAGGGAAATCCTTTACACGCACCCGTCAGTTCAACATGACTCTTCTTCAGAACTGGTTCTGGAATTGGTGGCATTATCGGACTCAAAACGTTAACTCTGTTTCTCTCTCCACAGATGCTGTCGGACCTGCTGAGTTTTTCCATAACTTTCTGTTTTTGTTTACATTTTCAACAATTTTAATTTCTCATTAGCACCCATTCAGCATCTAGCTCCTTCCAGCTTATCATCAGCAATCCCTTTGTTTGCCTTTCCCTTTATTCTCTCCCTTTCTCAGCACCATCTCCATGTATTCTACTCACTCCTTCCTTTCAACTGTGATGAAGGGGCACTGGACTCGAAACGTTATTTCTGTTTCTCTCTCCACAGATGCTGCCAGACCTGCTGAGTGTCTCCAGAACTCTATGCTTTCATTTTCTATCATTTTTTTTGCTCGAAGGAGAAAAATCCCAACTCTTTAAATTCTTTATAAAGTAGAAAGGGAAGGCTGAATGTTCTTTTCTGTGCAGGAACCATTTATGGTTCTGTGATGGGAGAATGTCGTTCAGAAACTCATCACAAAGTTCTGCTTCCTTATGCAGATGCCAGCAGTGAGTTTACAGGATGAGGCCAGGCAAGCACAGGAGGGAATGTTTCTGATGACCAGGGAGTCCAGACTAGGGGTCAAAGTCTCAGAATACATGGTAGGCCGTTTAGGGCTGAGATGAGGAGAAATGTCTTCACCCAGCCTGTGGCATTCTCTCTCACAGAAAGCAGTTGAGGCCAGAACATTGAATGTTTTCAAGAAGGAGTTAGATATAATTCCTAGGAATGAAGGGTTCAAGGTTATGGGGGAGAAAGCGGGAACGGGGGACTGAGTTGGATGATCAGCCATGATCATATCGAAAGATGGAGCAGGCTCGAAGGGTCTACATAAGAACATAAGAACTAGGAGCAGGTGTAGGCCGTCCGGCCCTTCGAGCCTGCTCCGCCATTCAATAAGATCATGGCTGATCTTTTCGTGGACTCAGATCCACTCACCCGCGTTCTCACCGTATCCCTTAATTCCTTTATTGTTCAAAAAAAATCTACCTTATCTTTAAAAACGTTTACTGAAGTAGCGTCAACTACTTCACTGGGCAAGGAATTCCAGGGATTAACAACCCTCTGGATGAAGAAGTTCCTTCTCAATTCAGTCCTAAATCTGCTCCCTCTAATCTTGAGGCTATGCCCTCTTGTCCTAGCTTCACCTGCCAGTGGAAACATCCTCTCTACTTCTATCTTATCTATTCCCTTCATAATTTTATATGTTTCTATAAGATCCCCCCTCAATCTTCTGAATTCCAATGAATATAATCCCAATCTACTCAGTCTCTCCTCATAAACCAATCCCCTCAACTCCGGAATCAACCTAGTGAACCTCCTTTGCACCCCCTCCAGTGCCAGTACATCCTATCTCAAGTAAGGAGACCAAAACTGCACACAGTACTCCAGGTGTGGCCTCACCAGCACCTTGTGCAGCTGCAACATAACCTCTCTGCATTTAATCTCAATCCCTTTAGCAATGAAGGACAAAATTCCATTTGCCTTCCTAATTACTTGTTGTACCTGCAGACCTACCTTCTGTGATTCATGCACAAGGACACCCAGGTCCCTCTGCATAGCAGCATGCTGCAACTTTTTACCATTCAAGTAATAATCCTTTTTACTATTACTCCTACCAAAATGTATGACATCACATTTATTTACATTGTATTCCATCTGCCAGACCTTTGCCCACTCACTCAATGTATCTATGTTCCTCTGCAAAGTTTCACAGTCCTCTGCGTACTTTGCTCTGCCACTCATCTTAGTGTCATCTGCAAACTTTGACACCCGACATGTGGTCCCCAACTCCAAATCATCTATATAAATTGTAAATAATTGCGGTCCCAACACCGATCCCGGAGGCACGCCACTAGTCACGGACTGCCAGCTAGAATAGCACTCATTTATCCCCACTGTTTGCTTCCTGTTAGTCAACCAATCCTCTATCCATGCTAATACTTTACCCTTAACGCCAAGCATCCTTATCTTATGCAGTACCCTCTTGTGCGGCACCTTGTCAAAGGCCTTTTGGAAATCTAGGTACACCACATCCACTGGGTCCCCATTGTCCACCTTGCTCGTAATGTCTTCATAGAATTCCAAAAGATTTGCCAAGCATGACCTGCCCTTCATGAACCCATGCTGCGTCTGCCCAACGGGACAATTTCTATCAAGATGCCTTGCTATTTCTTCCTTGATAATAGACTCAAACATCTTCCCCACTACAGAGGTTAAGCTAACCGGTCTATAATTCCCCATCTTTTGTCTACTTCCCTTTTTAAACAGTGGCGTCACATTTTCTGTTTTCCAATCTGCTGGGACTGCCCCAGAGTCCAGCGAATTTTGGAAAATTACCGCCAGTGCACCTGCTATTTCTCCCGCCATCTCTTTTAGTACCCTGGGATGCATTCCATCAGGGCCAGGAGACTTATCAATCCTTAGCTCCATTAGCTTGCCCAACACTACCTCTTCCGTAATAATGATTGTTTCCAGGTCCTCACCTACCTTCGTCTCTTTGTCAATTACTGGCATGTTATTAGTGTCCTCCACTGTGAAGACCGATACAAAATACCTGTTCAATGCCTCAGCCATTTCATCATATCCCATAACTAAATTCCCCTTCTCATGCTCTAAAGGGCCAACATTTACTTTAGCCACTCTTTTTCGTTTTATATATTTATAGAAACTTTTGCTATCTGTCTTTATATTCTGTGCTAGTTTTTTCTCATGTTCTATCTTACTTTTCTTTATAGCTCTTTTTGTGGCTTTCTGTTGACCTTTAAAGTTTTCCCAGTCTTCTAGTTTCATGCTGTTTTTGGCCACATTGTATGCCTTCTCTTTCAATTTGATAGCCTCCCTTATTTCTTTAGACACCCATGGCAGATTACCCCTTTTCTTACAGTCCTTCCTTTTCACTGGAATATACTTTTGCTGAGCACTTTGAAAAATTGCTTTGAAAGTCCTCCACTGCTCGTCAACTGTCCCACCATAAAATCTTTGTTTCCAGTCTACTTTAGCTAAGTCCTCCCTCATTCTATTGTAGTTCCTCTTGTTCAAGCACAGGACCCTGGTATTGGATTTTATCTTCACACTCTCCATCTGTATTCTAAATTCAACCATACTGTGATCACTCCTTCCAAGAGGATCCCTAACTATGAGGTCATTAATTATTCCTGTCTCATTACACAGGACCAGATCTAGGATAGCTTGCTCCCTTGTCGGTTCCATTACATACTGTTCAAGAAAACTATCACGGATACACTCAACGAACTCCTCCTCAAGGCTACTCTGACTGAGCTGGTTCGACCAATCTACATGTAGATTAAAATCCCCCATGATAATTGCCGTACCATTTTTACAGGCATTAGTTATTTCTTTGTTTATTGCCTGCCCCAGTGTGATGTTATTATTTGGTGGCCTATAGTCTACGCCTATCAGTGACTTTTTCCTCTTAGAATTTCTAATTTCCACCCAAATGGATTCAACCTCATTCTCCATAGAACCTATATCATCTCTCAGCACCGCCCTGATGTCGTCCTTGAATATCAGAGCTACACCACCTCCCTTACCTACTCCTGCTCCTACATTGCTGTAGGGTTTGTTTTCATTCTGGTCTTCAAATCCATCTCTAGCTTCACCACTCCCCGTCTCTGCAACCTTGTTCAGCCCTCTGAGATGTCTACACTCCTCTCTTGTCCATCTCCCAATTTTAATCACTTCAGTATTGAGTTGACTGTCTCTTCAGCTTCCTGGGCCCTGAGCTCTGGAAACTCTCTCTGTCTAAACATCTGTGCCTCACATTCTTTGTTAAAAATCAACCTTTTTGACCCAGCAAATTGTCTTTGTACATCTTTATGGTGGCTCAATGTCTAATTCTGTCCAATATTGTAGTGGGTGTGCTGAGTAAAGACAAGGTGTTGCCCTTACCAAGGGCTAGGACCAAGCTTTGTTCAGGGGAGATTTCGAGATGTGAGAAGGTAATGGAAAATAGGAATTTTTTTTCTGTGCTTGCAATCTTAGAGCTGCCTCCTCCTCCGATTCCCCCTCCCGCCATCAAATCGCCCAGCTTCCAGGCCAAGGTTCACCCGGATGCCTGGCCCCCCATGGTACCAAAATCCCACGCAGTGGAGCAAAAGGTGGAGCGAGCCGGGGATGGCAGGAAGACCAGTGGTCTCCGAGGAAGAGAAGGCACGGAAGCCCAGCACCTTCCCGAAAGCCGCACAAACCCGGCAGAGTACCGAGATCTTCCCGATGCCTGGCAGCAGGATGCCCTCCGTACCAAGCAGCGCCTGAACAAGACCAGCAAGCGGGAGACATCTCAGCCAAAGGCACGCCTTCCAGCAGGTAAGGAAACAGAAACGACTGCTCTCTCCTGCCTGGCAGAATCAAAAGGAGCAAGTTAGTTGCATCTCTTGGTTAGCTCAGTTGGCTGGACAGCTGGTTTGTGACACTGAGTGACCCCCAACAGAGTGGGTTCAATTCCCCCACAGGCTGAGGTTACCATGAAGGACTCTAGTTCTCAATCTCTCCCCCTCACCTGAGACACAGTGACCATCAGTTTAAACCACCACCAGTTGTCTCTCTCTCTCTCTGTAATGAGAGGGCAGCCCTATGGTCTGGTGAGACATTACCTTCACCGCCACTGGGTGCTTGACCTGCAGTGAGGAACTGCTTTGAAATGTAGTTCTTGTTATAAGAAGAGGACTATGGAGACAGGTTTGGGAGACTGGGTTAATATGCAGTGTGGACATTAAAACAGATCAGTTTGCAAAGAATTTGCTGAATATCATTTGGTCTAACTAGTCCATACTTGTGATTATGCAATGCACAAGCCGTCTCCTGCCCTACTTCGACTCACCCTATCAACATGTCCTTCTATTTCTTTCTCCCTCATGTTTTGTCTTTATCAAGCTTCCCCTTAAATGGGTCCATGCCAATCACCTCAATGCTTCACATTTTAAACTTCACATTTTCATCACCTTTGAGCAAAGATCCTCCTGAATTCACAACTGGATTATTCATAAGTAACTTATATGCCTTATCTCGAGTGATTCTACAGTTTTGCCTAATGGTCCTGGTTATTGTACATTATTATCACTTTCTAATTTTCCATATTATTTCTCTTCTCACTTTATTTTTTGCACTCTGTCAAGGGTGTGAATGTTGCTGGCTGGTCCACCATTTATTGCCTATTTGCCCTTAACAAGGTGTTGATGACCTGCCTTCTGTAGTCCATGTGCTTTAGGCACACCCACAGTGCTGTTAGCATTCAGGAGCATGATGAGGACATTTGGCCCTTCAAACCTGCTCCACTTCTCAATAAGATCACGGCTGATCTGACGATGGTCTCAGCCCCACTTTCCTGCCTGCACCCCATTGTTGATCAAGACTCCGTCCCAATTGACCTTTAATCAAATTAATCTGACAGTGTCCTCTGCTTTCTGAGGACTAACAGCCCTCTGACAGAAAATATTAAGAGAGGAGTTCCTGGAATATTTTTCCAGTCACACTGAAGGAACGGCGATATATTTCCAAGTCAGGATGGTGAGTGACTTGGAGGGGAACTTGCGGGTGGTGGTGTTCCCATGTATCTGCTGCCCTTGTCCTTTTAGATGGAAGTGGCCCTGGGCTTGGAAAGTGCTGCCTTTGGTGAATTTCTGCAGTACACCTTGTGGATAGTACACACTGCTGCTACTGAGCAACGGTGGTAGAGGGAGTGAATGTTGAAGGTGGTAGATGTGGTGCCTCAAATTCACTGCTTCGTAAAACAGTGTTTCACGTTCAGCCTCAATTTTAAGATGTGTGATTTTTGAGGCATACTGCATTAGAGTGGCCAATCCTCCTGGATTGTCGCAGGAATTTCCAGGAATATAAGATGATTCTCGAGGACACTGCTATTGGCCAAACGCAGGGAAGAAAAGAACATGGTAGATTTTCACTTTGTTTCAAAATCTGCATTGATTAACTATTGGACAATGGAGGAGGAGCGGGGGAAGGCCATCTGATTAAAAGTCTACAGTTCATCCAATCAGGATCAGGTCATGGGTTGTGTGTGCCTGGGACCATATAATGAAGACATCTAGGATCTTGAGGGGTGGACAGTGGATCTGGAAAGTACGTTTCCTCTTGTGAGAGACTCTTGAACAAGGGATCACTGTTTAAAGACCAGGGGTCATTTATTTAAAGCAGAGATAACGCCATAAGACATGGGAGCTGAGATAGGCCATTCAGCCCATTGACACTGCTGTACTGTTCACTGGAATCACGGCTGATCATCCTCAACTCTACTTGCTTGCCTTTTCCCCCATAATCCTTGATTCCCTTACTGATTAAAAACCTGTCTATCTGAGCCTTGAATATACTTAATGACCTAGCCTTGACGGTGCTCTGTGGTAAAGAATTCCACAGATTCACTCCCCTCTGAGGGAAGAAATTCCTCCACATCCCTGTCTTAAATCCATAACCCCTTAGTCTGAGATGATACCCTCTGGTCCTAGACTTGACTAAAAGAACTTCAGAACTAGGAGCAGGAGTAGGTCATTCAACCCCCCCCCCCAAGTCTGTTCCACTATTTTATAAGATATGGCTCATCTTGGTCTCAATTCCACTTGCCTGCCTTCTCCCAATAACTCCTAGATTCACTTCCTAATTAAGTTCCTGTCTCTTTCAGTGGGTGGAATTGAAAGTTAGGCTCAGTAATTTTGGGCCATGAATCTGCCATATCACAGAATCATAGAATTGTTAAAGCACAGAAAAAGGCTGTTCGGCCCTTCATGCCTGCACCCAGTGCCAATCCCCTGCCTTTTCCCCACCTCGCTTCCACAACATCCGTATCCAAATAATCATCCCTTGCCCCTCTTGAATGCCTCAAATGAACTTGCCTCCAGCACATTTCCAGGCAGTGCATTCCAGACCCTAACTACGTCCTGTGTGAAAAAAGTTTTTTCTCACATCACTTTTGCTTCTTCAGCACATCACTTTAAATCTATGTCCCTCTCTTTGGTATTGATTTTATGAGTTGTAAAAAACCATTTGGTTTGCAAATAGAAATCTGCTGTTCTCACCTGGTCTGGACTACATGTGGCTTCGGACCCACAGCAAGAGGGTTGCTTCTTAACTTTCCTCTGAAGTGAGCGAGCGCCTCATTCAATTCAAGGATAGACCATAAATTCTATCATCGCAATGCCCACTTACCAATGGAAAACTTTAAACAGAAGAAACGCTGGCCTGTCTATCTCATCTCAACACAATCCTGGGGCAAGAACAATGGCCAGGAAATGTTTAGGGGTCCTCTGGGTCTTCTCATCCCCATAACCTTCTCGTGTGCGTGTCGTGCAGGTGCTGCAGAGGATGTGCTTCCATACAGTCGGCCAACATTCCCCTCTGCACAGAATCCCAGGGAGCCCAGCTCTTCCAGCTCCATGTCCTCTAGAGGGTCTGGGGGTCGGAGGAGAGCAGAACAACTCATGGCTGGCAACACCACTGGCATCTCCCGCAGGAACCCGTTGGATGCTGGCCTTCAGGAAATGGGAACGTACGAATGTGAGGAAGAAGATTTTGAGGTAAATGATCAGGGGGTCATTCATGTGGGAGAAAGGTTGGGGGCAGGGAGTGAGGATCGTGGGCGTAGGATTGCTGTAGAGAGGGCAGATTTTTAGAACTATTAAAGACTCAGACTTGATTTGCATCCTGTGAAAACTTTTAAAAAAATCTGTAAGACGAAAGATCATTGAAGTCATGCAGGAAAGCGCTGATGAGGTTATAATCAGATCAGCAATGATCTTAGCGAATGGTAGAGCAGGCTCGAAGCACCAAGTGGCATAGTCTTGTTCCCAGTTAGTATGTACAACACCCTTAGAGTATCAATCAGCTCAATCAGGATGTGTCCTGGGCTGGAAAGTCTCAGCGAGGAGGAGACACTGGAGAGGCTCAGCCTGTTTTTCCTGGAGCAGAGAAGGCTGAAGGAGGATCTGATTGAGGTGCACAAAATTATAAAAGGCATAGCTAAGGTAGAGAGGGAGAAATCTTACCCCTTAGTTGAGGTGTCAGTGAGCAGGGATGCAGCTTTAAGGTAAGCAGCAGTAGGTTTCGAGGGGATTTCAGGAAAAAAAATCATCACAGGATGGTGGGAATCTGGAATCCACTGTCTGAAGGGTGCTAGAGGCAAGAACCTTTAAGACTTTTGAGAATTATTTGGATGAGCCCTTGAAACGCCAGACCATACAAGGTTATGGTCCACGTGCTGGATAGTGGGATGAGAATAGATCTGGATGGGTGCACGAATAGGAAGGGCTCAGAGGGATATGGGCCAAATGCTGGCAAATAGGACTAAATCAGTTTAGGATATCTGGTGGGCATGGATGAGTTGGACTGAAGGGTCTGTTTCCGTGCTGTATAGCTCTGCGTCTCTATAACCAGTGCAGACATGATGGGTTGAATGGCCTCTTTCCATGCTGTAAAAACTCGATGCTTCTGAGGCCTTTCAGCCCGTCATGCCTGCACCGGATCTTTGAAAGAGCTATCCAAGCAGGTCCAATCCAGTTTTTGCATTTTCCTCATAGCCTTGCAAATATTTTCCCTTCAAAGAATTGCTGGATTGAAGGTTTCTGTAGAGTCTGATTCCAATGCCCTTTTAGGCAGTTCGATTACATGACAACGACTCACTGCAGGCGAAACAAAACAATTCCTCATCTGACCTCTGGTTGTTTTATAACATTATACCTAGTGTTTGAGTGAGAGACCATCACCCACTCCTTATTTGCTCTCGAATGTTCGATGACCTTCTCTACCAGGAGGAAATGAATCGCAGCTTCTACAACTTTCTCCAAAACCTCCAGTTTGTTTTCCCCCTCTGAAATTTGGAAGATTTTTCCCGCTCAAGCTTTGCTGCATTAATTCCCAATTTATGTTTCAGTATATTTTATGCCCCCACACCCTTCCTTTCATTCTGATAGCCAGCAAAGCTTTTCCAATCTGTCCGCATAGCTAAATCAACCAGGAATGATCCTTGTCATTTTCCTCTGTTCCAAATTTCCTTTTAGTTTTCCATATTAGCTTGACTAACATAACAACAGAAGGAGGCAATGATATAGTGGTATTGTCGCTGGACTGTTAATCCAGAGACCTGGATAATGTTCTGAGGGCCCAGGTTTGAATCCTGCCATGGCAGATGATGGAATTTGAATTCAGTAAAATATATCTGGAATTAAGAGTCCAACGATGACCATGAATCCATTGTCAATTGTCAGAAAAACCCATCTGGTTCACTAGTGTCCTTTACGGAAGGAAGCTGTCATCCTTACCTGGTCTGGCCTACATGTGACTCCAGACTCACAGCAATGTGGTTGACTCTTAACTGCCCTCTGGGCAATTGGGGATGGGCAATAAATGCTGCCTAGCCAGTGACATCCTCATCCCATTAATGAATAAAAAAAAATGCCTTTCCCCTTATTTGAGGAGGGAGGTAGTTCTGATGAGGTTCACCAGAGATAAGAGGTTTGTCTTATTGAGTCATACAGTATGGAAACAGACACCTCGGTCCAACTCATCCACACCGACCACGCATCCCAATCTGACTAGTCTCATTTGCCAGCATTTGGCCAATAGCCTTCTAAACCCTTCCTATCCATGTACCCAACCAAATGCCCATTAGATGTTTTTATTGTATTAACCTCCACCACTCCCCCTGGCAGCTCCCATATACATACCACCTGCTGTGTTAAAATGTTACCCCTCAGGTCCTTTTTATATCTTTCCCCTCTCATCTTAAACCTATGCCCTCTAGTTTTGGACTTCTCCACCAGGTAGAGCTATTCATCCCTATCCATAGTGACTTTAGGTCGCCCCACAACCTCCGATGCTCCAGGGAAAACAGCCCCAGTCTATTAGCCTCTCCCTATAGCTCAAACCCTCCAGTCCCAGCAACATCCTTGTAAATCTTTTCTGCACACTCTCAAGTCTAATAATATTCTTCCTATAGAAGGGTGACCAGAATTGTACGCAGTATTTCTAAAGTGGTCTCAGAAAGATTGAGCAGTTTAGGCCCACACTGGCTGGAGTTTAAAAGAATGAGACGAGATCTATGTGAGGTAGGACTATGAGACTAGGACCAAAGGGCACAGCCTTGGAGTAAAGGCCTTTAGAACGGAGATAAGCAGAAACTTTTTTAGCCAGAGAGTGGTGTATCTTTGGAATTTATTGCCACAGAAGGCTGTGGAGGTCGGGTCGTTGAATATATTTAAGGCAGAAATATATAGGTTCTTGATTGTTAAGGGGATCAAATGTTACGGGGAGTAAGCGGGAGAATGGGGTTGAGAAATTTATCAGCCATGAGCGAATGGCAGGGCAGGCTCAATGGGCCGAATGGCCTAATTTCTGCTCCTATGTTTTATGGTCTTATGGTACATAAGATGCTAAAGGGGATTAATAAAGTAGACAGAGAGAGGATGTTTCCCCATGTAGGCCAATCCAGAACGAGAGGTCATAGCTTTAGGATAAGGGGTGGCAGATTTAAAACCGAGATGTGAGGAATTATTTCTCTCCAAAGGGTCAAAAACCTGTGGAATTCACTCCACCAAAGTGTGGTGGATGCTGGGACATTGGGTAAACTTAAGGGGGAGATGGACTGATTTTTAATTAGTAATGGGGTGAAAGGTTGTGGAGAGCGGACAGGAATGTGGAGTTGAGACCGAGATGAGATCAACCATGATCAATACAAATGGCAGAGCAGCCTCCAGGGGCTGAATGGCCTACTCCCGCCCCTAGTGCCTGTGTTGTTTCTCCCCTTTAAGCCTCACTTCATGAGATCAGATATGGGTTAGTGTTAGATATGAGATAGGGTTAGGTTTCGGGTTAGATCACAGTTGAACTATATCTTAATTCCATCTACACACACCTGTCACATAACTGTTTTTGGAACAGTTTTGACATTTCCAGTTGACAGCCCTGCCACAGGATGAGTACATTGCTGTCAAGACCAATATTTGATGCCCACCAGTGTTTTCCTTGAGAAGGTGGCGCTGAGCTGCCTTCACAAGTATAACTGAAAAGCTGTATAATTGCAGAACAGTTTGGCAGTCAATGTTTGGATCTCAACTGCTTTCTGTGTCAGAGAATTCCACAGGCTCACTACTTTCTGGCAGAGACATTTCTCTCATAAAGAAGGACATCAGTAAAGCCAACAGAGGATTCCAGAGGGTGGTCAAATGCAGAGAATTGGTATTACAGATCTTGAGATTTGCTGAAAATGGACACATTTTCACAAAGCATTTTGTTTTGTTGGTCTCATCAATGCAGTTTGGTATTAGGTTAGGTTAGGTTAGGTTAGGTTTGTGTTGGTTGGCTTTGAGCTAATTGGGATTGAGCTAATTGGGATTGAACTAATTGGAATTGAGTTGGTTGGGATTGAGCTGTTTGGGATCGAGCTGTTTGGGATTGAGTTGCTTGGGATCGAGCTGGATGGGATCGAGTTGATTGGGATCGAGCTGGTTGGGATCAAGTTTCTTGGGATCGAGTTGGTTGGGATCGAGCTGGTTGGGATTGAGCTGGTTGGGATCGGGTTGTTTGGGATCGAGTTGTTTGGGATCGAGCTGTTTGGGATCGAGCGAATCGGGATCGAGTTGGTTGGGATCGAGCTGGTTGGGATTGAGCTGGTTGGGATCGGGTTGTTTGGGATCGAGTTGTTTGGGATCGA